GGCTGGGGCGTCTGCGCGGCCAGGGCCCAGGTCTGCTGAGGGGCCTCCTGGACCCAGCGCAGGCTGCGGGGCTGCCCTGCAAAGGGGGGGCCTGCCCTGCAAGGGGGGGACTTCCCTGCAACGGGGGGCTGCCCTGCAATGCTGCAATGGGGGGACTACCTTGCAATGGGAGGGACTGCCCTGCAACGGGGGGGCTGGCCTGCAAGGGGGGGTTGCCCTGCAAGGGGGGGTCTGCCCTGCAATAGGGGGGCTGCCCTGCAGTGGGGGGACTGCCCTGCAACGGGGGGGGGCGAGAGAAGCTGCGGCAGGAGGCAGCGCTGTATCCTGGGGGCTGGGGGGCTCCCCCTTGTGGGCTGCTAACCTGTTGAATTGCCTCTGGGGTGTGGCTGGGCCAGGTGGCGGGGCCTGGACCCTGTGCACCCCCCCCACCTGGGGCCTCTCGGCACCCGCCACAGCGCCCGGCCGCGCCTTGGCGGTGTGAGTCACTTCCGCCCCACGTCCGGCTGCCGGCCTGGGGCGCCTCCTCCCCAGACTTTCTTCTCTTCACCCCCATCGCCAGCGCACGGTCAGTCACAGGCTTCTTCGTGGAACAGGCGCCCCACACCGGCCGCGCCGCACAGCACCTCGCGCCTTCACCAACGCGACTACTCCACACAAGAGCTGGGGTGCGGCCAGAGGTGCGGGGTGGGTGGACGGCCCAGAGGCGGAGGGGGCAGCAGAGCAGGCGGGTCCACTGAGACCCACTGCTGAGGGGCAGCGGGGAGACGGGGGTCCCTCCTGGCCGGGGGACTCGCCCGCAGGGGCTGAGCCGCGGCCCTGTGCCCCGGGCCCAGATGTCTCATTTCGGCATCCCGCAGGCCTTTCCTGCCGCCTCTAACTCCGCTGCCCGCCTCGGTGACCTTTGGTCTGTTCCCAGTCGCGGTCAGAGGCCCCGACTCGGGGGCAGAAGTAGCAAAAGTGAGTTGCACGCTGGACAAGACTGGACGGGCGCGGCGGGTGCCCGCGCTGTGCCCATCTGCTCAGGCCTTGGCGTGCCGGAGGCCGGTGTCTGGGGCAGGCCCGCCGGCCTGAGCATCTCCACCCACCCTGGTGGCCAGGGCGCCTCAGGGCCTCGGCGGAGGGTCCTGGCCCCACAGCAGACCCGCGTGCCAGCCCCACGGGGCGAGTGGTGTCCGGGTGCACTGTCCTCCCGGGGGCCAGGGAGTGCAGGTGTGTAGCTAACTCCCCACCATGCCCCTCCCTGGCCCTGGCTGCGAGTGGACAGGCTGGGCCGGGGCTGTGGGGGCTCCTCAGGCCATGTCCTCTGCTGCCCATCTCCCCCCACCCCGGGCCGGTGGCCCGAGGTCTCTGAAGTCGGCCAGGGAGCCCGCCCACACCTGAGCGGGACAGCTCGGGAGGGCCAGCCGGGCCGGTGTCCCTGCAGCCGGGCCGGTGTCCCTGCAGCCGGGCCACGCCCGGGGAGGGATCCCGCCACGTCCCATCTCAGCCAGACTCGAGGCCCACCAGCAGGCCACGCGCCCTCAGTCCACCCTCAGTCCATCTTCAGCGTGACTTGTGGGAGGACTGACGCTGGCCGGGACGGCGTCCAGAGAGCGGGCAGGCGCGGCGCTCCAGGGCTCTCCTGGACGAGGCAGTGCCGGCTTCCGCTCTCAAGGGTCCCCCGGGATAGGAGAGGCGCGAAATGAGCCCCCAGGCTCCCGGAGGCCAGCTGTCCCCACAATGTGTCCTCTCCATCCCTAGTGCCATGGAAAGTGAAGAAGCCCATCTTTACTAACACAAGGCCATCCCCGCGAGCGACCCGGTCACCTCGGGGGTCCTGGTGCCGGAGATGCGCCTCCCCAGGCTCTGGGCGCTGGCGTCTGCCGGGAAGGGCCCTCTGCTAGTGAATTCGGTGCCCCCTGGCGTGCGCAGTCATACCCGAATCTCAGTTCACACCTTCACATGAGAATCATCACCCGGCTGGGCCTCCCTGGTGGCTCAGGGCCACAGTCTCAGCGCTGTGAAGCTGTTGCAGCCACCTAGTCACCCTCCGGCCAGGGAGGGGCCCCAGGGCGCAGCGGACCCCGACTTGGGCTGCCCCCTCGGCAGTGGGTCTCAGGGGACCCTCCTGCTCTGCTCCCCGACTGTCTCTGGGGAGGCCTCTCACCCCACACCTCTGGCCTGCACCCCAGTTGTTATATGCATAGATAAGTAAATGTTTAAACACAGAAATAATTAAACGGGCTAGTTGGTGAATAAGGATGACATGCGGAACAATCCTTGGAGTGGTGCAGAGAAGTTTCTAAAAGTGACACAAGACTCTGAAACGATAAAAACACTGGACTGACCAATTTGATGGCGTAAAAATGTCAAATTTCTATATTAAAAAAACAGCAAAAATAGTCAAAAGAAAAACAGCGACGCCTTGGGCAGAGGAATCATTTTCATAAGCTGCAGAGTCTCACGAGTGAACTCAGATTTTAAATGGGCAAAAGACGGGGCGCACGGACCCAGAAAAGGAGGCGAGAATCACTCCCGCACCGAGTCACTTCTCAGACGCTCAAGAAGGGAAATGAGCCGTCACGAGGTCCACCGAGGTCCACCGAGGTCCACCGAGGTCCACCGAGGTCCACCGAGGTCCACCCGAGGCGGCCCTGGCTGCCCCGCCGGGCGCCTCCCGCCCACCCTGGCCTGGGGCCCGGGG